TAGAAGCATCATGATTGATTATGCCTTCCAAGAATGGCAATGAGAGTCCTCCAAAAAATTGTAACTCCAAAAAGATGTAAAAAAAGAAAAGGCATTGAATAAATTACTGTGACTTTTGTTTGAATTGTTCCTTGTACTTGACAAAGGTATAGAGAGCACTGCCAATCATTGCCAAACAAATTCCAATAATGTTCGTAGAGGTAAGTGGAGTGTCAAAAACGATGGTACTCAAATAAACAGTCATTATTTGATGGAGAAGGCCTAAAATTCCCATTGTCAGAGGACTAGTTGAAGAGTTAGCCAGGAAATTAAATAGGTTCAATAAAAACGCAACAAATGCACTTGTCAGCACAAATGCAATGGTTTTCAAGTTATAAAGAATGCTCCAATTGTTGTTGTAGAGATCGCTCACTTCTCCAATCACACATGCCAATGCAAACATTCCAAAAGAACTCCACATGGATAATTTGCTCAATAAATAAATTGGATGTAATTGATATTGATTCAGATATTTGTTGGTTAGAGTAGTTTTGAGAGCACACATGATATTGCCGGTGAGGAGAATCAGGAGTGACGTCAAATTAATAACGTCTTCTTGATCTGATTTCTTTTCTGTTTGTGCATTGCTTCCTTGTTGACATGTTAAATAAACTCCAACAATGATTGGCAAAACTGTCAAAATGACATTTAGTGATGGTCTATTTCCCACTTTCAAAATAATCGAAGATATCATAATAAATATTGGCATTGAAGACCGAAACACTTGGCTCAATAATAAATTCACTGCCTTTTCAAACAAGAATATGACATCATGTGATTCATACAATTGAGCATTGGAATAAAATTTTTGTAAATAATTATTATTATTAACTCTCTCAATTCATCAAATACTTACTTTCACGCTCATATTTCCAAATGCAATATTCAACACAAACAACAATGAAAAATACATAATTAATCGTCCACTACTTTTCGATTTTTCCTCTTCCGAATGATTACCAATTCTCTTCCATACCAACACGGACAATATCCAATTCACCACCATATGTACCGTTGATAACAATACGGGATACTTGAAACCCGTCCATTTAAATACTCCCTTATTGATAAAAGAAAGTCCAATCACTAATACCAGCCAGGTCGATGCATAGAATGCTACTCGGCCATTTCCGATCTTCTTTTGTGTCGTCAGAACAGAATCATGCGAGAATGAGCTTCCTCCCATTTTTTTTAAGAACTTGATATTAATTTATAATAATAATATTATTCATAGAAAAGGATCGTCCTTATCATCGGAGATGACGGGGTTATGAGAAGCGGAGTGATGGAGTTATTCCATGCTTGAATGATGTTGTTGAATTTTACCGCACAATTCATGCCCACAAGTATAGCCACAGGATTTTTCACCACCATGAAAACACAAGTGGACTCTGGAGTTTGTGATGTTGTGACTTCATGTGTCAGTTGGACTGAGGAAAGAAAAACTCAAGTGAAATTTAATTGTGCGTATGGAACGAGTTTTCAAGGTGTGTTGCGATCTGGAAGAGATAATTCTTCGACTATTGCATTCAAAACGGTGCAAGATTTGAACCAACCAGGAATCACTGTTGTGGTTGCTCCAGATACCATTCATGATACATGGGCTTCTGAAAATCTTAAACAAGCTCAATTAATCAAATTAGGGAAAAGTTATCAGGAAATATTTCCATTGATACAAAGTGGAAAATATCATGCTTTCATTGCAGATGCGATTGATATTTATCAATGGTATGCACGAAATAAGAACAACTGTACGGGTTGTAGTGTGAGTGTGTTTGGAGATGCATTGCCATTTGGTTCGTTCATGACCAACAAAATTGTGGATTCTAGTTCGAGCTGCAATAATTGGAATCCATTATCGTCTTTTATGATGTTTGTTGTGTTGCAAATCATTCTTTTGAACCTTTGTAACTATGGATGGTGTTAAGGAAAACAATGTCACATGTTTCATTTTGAAAAAGAATCATTTCGTTCTCAAAAAATCATTCTTGTTTTAGTCGATAATATGAGTGGATAATATTCACCATCATTGATTAAATTATCATTCTAATTAAGGCTGAACTCAATGTGTATGGGAATTTCAACAAGACCCTCAAAATGACACCCCAAAAACCACAAATATCAATCAACTCCAAATCATGCTCAATACCAGAACATGCCAATCTTGCAGCTTCTTCAGAAGAAATCATTCCCACTTGAGCACCCTTTTGAGGGAACGATTCTGCCATATTTGTTGAAACCCATCCTATTCATATATTAGATCCAAAATGAATGTAACAAGACCATTAGCATCCAATAGTGTACGATTGTCATCTTACTCATTTCACACGCGACTATACTTACCAGGAACAAAAACAGAAACTCTAATATTACTATGGGTCTTACTGTTATCGAGTTTAGCTCTGAGAGTTCTTCCCATACTAATTAGGGCTGCCTTTGCCACAGGATATAAACCCATTTCGGGGAAATAGCCTGTTCCTGAGCTTGTTAAAACAATGTGTCTTCGTTTGCAGTTTCCTTTTTCATTTTGTTCCATCATGTTTTCTAAAGCTGGAAAAACAACATTGGTACAACCTGTCATGTTTGTTTCCCAACACTCGAAATCGACTTTGACCTTTTCCAACGAAGTATACTTCTTACTTGGATCCAACATTTGAAACAATGAAACTCCAGCATTCGCAATCACTAAATCATAGTCAAGTTCATGAATTAGTTCCTTAACTTTTTCAGCATCTGTCACATCACATAATCGAATATTGATTTCATAATCCTCTTCAGGATGATTGGATTCCTTCTTGATGATGTCAAGACATTCTTGTTTCACTTCTTCGAGAGCCTGTTGCTTTCTTCCGGAAATAGTCAAGGTGAATTTCTTTTGATTCTTTCTCTTTGCAAAATTTCTTGCCAACTCCAAAGCAATACTCTTGCCAATACCACTCGAAGCTCCATTCAAGAAAATAGTCTCATAACCACAATATGGATTTGCATTAAATTTAAACAATTCCTTTCCTTTCTTCTTGATCAAATGATAAAACAAGAAAGAAGCCACTCCCACGAACAAACACAATGGATAGAGCATCATGGTAAGAGTTCCTTCAATAATACTCCAAATCATTTCATACCACACAGAGGATACATATTGATGACCCACCAATAAGAACGATGCTGAAGCCTTGTTGTTGTTATTATTACTGGATCGTAATTGTTGAGCCATTTTTTCTTGTTTTGCGGAAGGACAACACTTTGCATATTAACGTTACGATCGCAAAAAATTCCTTTGGAAAATTGCACCTTTTGTAATTGGCTGGATTCATAGAATACATATTAATATCGGAAGGATGACATGATTCTTCCTTGATGATGAGGTGATGCAAAAACCGAATACCACCTTTTAAAAAATGCAAGTCGGATGGTGGTGGTGTTTGAAACGTACGTGCTGTTGGTTTGCCATCCTGTGCGTGCTGGTTGTCGGTTGGCTCTATTCGGAACATTTGTTCAGAGATCGTCTCCGAGAACATCATCAGCGATTTTCAAAAGGATTGGATCCCGAAGAATTGGATTATATTATTGTGGGAAGTGGATCTGCTGGTTCGGTTCTTGCTAATCGTTTATCATCAACAACAAGGCCAGAATTTAAGAACAACAACCACTCGGCATCTACAGTATTATTATTGGAAGCTGGAAAATCAGATAATACACCACTTGCACACTTTTCCTTTCTCTACGCTTTTACTTTTTTGAGTTCGTTTGATTGGCAATATTTCACCATCGATTCGGAATCGGAAATTAATAAGGGACATGTATTGAGGAAAATGTATTGGCCTAGAGGGAAAATACTTGGTGGATGTTCCTCAACAAATGCAATGATTTACATGAGAGGAAGTCCACAAGATTATGATTCGTGGAATGAATGTGAATGGAATGGAAAAAGCAACATTTGGAATTTTGAAAATGTTTTGAATTATTTCAAAAAATCGCAACGTCAATTAGGAAATGCACAAAAATTCCATGATGACTATCATGGAAGAGAGGGTGAGTGGATCGTTAAAAGTCACGACGAAAATGAGATCGTTTCGGTTATTAAACCGATTGTGAGAGCAATTAGTAAGGTTTTATCGATTCCAATCATTGATGATTTCAACAATCCTCAACACACTCATCCTGACACTGAATCAGAGGAGGTCCATTTTGGAGCAGTTGGAACCACTCAAGTTCATATTCACAATGGAAGACGTTTTAGCGTAGTAGACGCTTTCCTTAATGACCAAGTTTTGAAAAGAGAAAACTTATTTGTGAGGACACAAGCACATGTAAATCGAATTCTGTTTAATGGCACTCGTGCAATTGGAGTTGAGTATTTCGATGAACGAATGAAGAAGTATATCATTAAGAAAGCTAGAAAGGAAGTTATTTTATCAGGAGGAGCTATTAATACACCAAAATTGTTACTATTGTCTGGAATTGGTGATGCAACTCAACTGAAAATGCATAACATTTCTGTAATTTATAATAATCCTAATGTTGGGAGACATTTACAGGATCATGTAGCAACATATATTCCATTCTACCTAACAACTAAGGTTGAGAGCTTTTTATCTTCCATACTTTCCAATCCACTGATGGAGATTTTCAATTTATTGGTCCATAAAAAGGGAAAGCTGACAACGAATGGAGTAGAGCTGAACACTCTGTTAAAAACCAAACAGTGTGATAACGACAGAGTTTTGAAATACACTCCTTCTCGATGGGACGTGTCGCAACAAACATGTTATGACAAACATCATTGCTATTCACATGATATTCAAATTCATGGAGCTCCAACAATCGTTTATGAAAGTGGAAAATTTGAGATACATCAACATGGATATACATTTATTCCTTTACTTTTACAACCAAAAAGTAGAGGAACTGTTAAACTTAAGAGCAATAATCCTTTTGATTATCCTACCATTGACTCGAACTTTCTTGGTCATGAACATGACAAACACACTCTTGCAGAAGCTGTTCGACTTTGTTTGTTAGTTGCTGGAGAATTGAGGAGAGAGAATGTGATTTTAGAACCAACCCATAAGGTCAAAGAGCTCATTCAAAAGCTCAATTCTTCCAATTCAGAAGCAGAGAAGAGGAACCATTTAATTAGATATGCACTGGACAATGTGGACCTAATTTATCATCCAACAGGTACCTGTCGAATGAGTCACAATAGCGAGTATGGAGTGGTGGATGAACAGTTGCGAGTGTTTGGAGTGCAAAACTTGAGGATTGTAGATGCTTCTGTAATGCCATCGATTGTGAGAGGTAATACTCAAGCGCCTGTTGTAATGATTGCTGAAATAGCGTCAGATTTGATTCTTTCAGATAATGGAAGGTGAGCATATTTGTGTTTCACTACCTATTAGATTTAGGGTTGGAATTCAAATATGCATCTCTTCGAGTTTTTTGTAAGAAATTTGATTGAGCACTTGATTGAGGCATTGAGGTTAAAGCTTCTTCTTTTTCTTTCAAGCTCTTGAGTTTGTTAGCTTCTTTTTGTAGTTCTCTTTGTTGTCCATCTTTCATCATTTGTTCGAGTTTTCTCTTTGTTTCTTCCTCTGAAATGGGTTCATTTTGTTCACGGTAAAACCTTCGTTCTTGTCCTCGGTTGTCATATCCAAGCCTTCGATTGTTATTATATTGGCTACTTTGATATCTATCATTTCTATGGTCTCTATTGTAATAATTTCTATTGTCATAATATCGATCCGTATTAAATTTGTTTTTGTCATAATTTTGGTCTTGTTGATTTGTGACATTACTTTGATTTGTAGCTTTAGAGACATCAACCGATGTAGACACCTGAGTTTTCGATGAAGCGGCCACATGTTTTTGTTCCCCAGAATTTTCTGTCTTTTTCTTTTTTTCTTTGGGCTTAACATCTTCCTCGCTTGAATAACTGGTGTAACTGCTGTCGCTTTCATCATCTTTTCTCTTTTTAGACTTTTTCTTTTCTTTTTTCTTTTCGTCTTTTGATTTTTCCTTCTTGTCCTTCTTTTCTTTCTTTTTTTCTTTTTTCTCCTTCTTTTCTTGTTTTTTCTTTTCTTTCTTTCGTTTTTCTAATTCTTTTTGCAACAACTCAGGGTTCTGTAAAAGCATTTTCATTCTGGCCAGACTTTGTTGTTTCATTCTAGCTAAAGG